ACCATTTCCCTTGTTCATACTGATTCACGTGTGTTATGACCAATCACCACTCATGACAAGCACTAAGCTTCTCGCACTCAAGTTTCTCTCACTACTCTCTCTCTCTCTAAACTAGGTTAAATTAAGCCTAAAGCTTTAAAGCTTTATTGTTCTGACTCAAACCAGTCATAAAGTACTAGTTTAGTACCAAAGGACCTTTCTATTACTATAGGGTAAGAAATTAACTCCATAAACCTTTGAATTCAATTTTTCAATAATTAAAACTAAGAGAAAATAGAGGAGAATCAAAGGTTAAGGAAGTACAAGACTTACTCGATAAGCAACAGGTTGGAAATATTATCCTTACTCCCAATTTCGCTTCCCCTAGCAGAGGTCTACTTCTTCTCCATGCCTAACTAGTCTTCTATTTTCCACAAGCAGACACATCCTTATTTACCAAGTTTATGCACCATGCATCATAGTCCATCCATCCTCAACCACAGCGTGTGGCATAATGAGGAAAATCCTCACTATCCTCACATGCTTCACTTCCAAATGCCGTTCTTCTACTCATATCTATTCATATAATATCCTAAAGAGTCAAAATAATATTTCACTATCCAAAATCCTAATTTCTCATTAAATCACTAATTAAATCCTTAATCAATATTAATGTAAGAATTAAAAATCTGAGATGTTACAATTACCCAAGAAAAATTGAATCCAAGCCTCAACCATACCTAAAAGCATCAAGATTCGCATAAAAGGGAGAGGGAGATGTGAGGGAAGCTTACCCGAGATGTAGCAAGCTCAAAGTACCTCTAATAAGATGATAGAATTAAGCCTTAGCAACCCCAACCCTTCTATCCTCGCTGCTCTTATTTTCTTTCCTTCCTTTCTTTTAATTTTCAATCTGTTTCATGATTGATAAGTGCAAATTTTTGTGCATGTGTAGCGGCACATTGGTGCGTCCCCTATGGTGCATGGTATAAAGAATCCCAAACTCATTTTAGGTCTCTCTCCATGCCACAGCATACTTATCTCTAATCTAGCCCTCTTCTAAGGCTGTCTAATGATCCATTAGCTACATTTGGCTCCTAAAAATGTCATTAATCAAAAATTCACTTGAAAATTATCATTCTTCAATTCTCAGATTGAAGACTTAGGATGATTTATACATATGAAATTTTGATTTGTATGAAAGCATGATCTTAGGGGTGGGAGTTCACCCTTAGGGAGAAGTAGCAAAAGGCCATATGGCATATTCTCTATAGTACCTATGAGATACGGTGTTAGAGAATTGTATCTCCTTAGTACCTATTAAGGTACGGTGTTGAAAATTATCTCTTTAATATCAATGTGGTGCAGCGTTGGAGATTTAGACTCTTTAGTATTGATGTGATGCAGTGTTGGAGTCAATGACACCTTATGGTATGTGATAAGGGAAACCATAGTCTGGAAGTAGGTTAGAATACCTTTGGTTAGGTGATTCTACCATTGAAGGTATGCTCAGGGATGATGACTATGTGTGTTGGTCTAAGACGAGCCTATGATTTTCAGTTAAGGTGATTTGGAGGTTCGGATGGTAGTAATTATGCTATATGCTATATAAGTGGTGAATTGTGGTGAATATAGTTTTGAAAAGTGGTGAAATGATATATATTGATGTGATTTAAAGTGAAATTCATGGCATGTGTTTTGTTTAAATGTATATTATATAATACTTGCTTATGGTTACATGTGATAGTCAGTAGTAGAGAGTTATTTTATTATTAAGACTATTATCTCACCCCTGTGGTTACATTTTTAAAGGTCAAAGTAGTGAGCTAGATAAGGGAAAAGAGTTACAACTGGCATAGTTGTGCTATTACCATGGAAATTGTCAAGTTTGTGTAATGAACTCAAATTTAGTATGAATATTGTGTATATAAGTTAACATAAGATTTGCATGCATGTTTTGAGGTTTGATTTGATGAGATATGTAGTGATTTTGTAAAGCTCATCCCTTATATGTGAATATGTGGTGAAATGAGCACTTGGGGTTAAGATTTAGTTGTGAACATATTGTAACTATGTCAGTGGTGAATATGAAGTGAATTTGTTGTAATATTGTAGTGAAAATGGCCAGAGGAATATTTTTTGTGATAAGTTGTGAAAAGTTCATGTTTGTAAATATGGGTTGTTGAATGGCCAAATCTTAATGCGTGTGTATATTTGATATAAAATAGGGTCAATCAGGTGTAATAGTTTCTTTTGGACTTTGTTCAAGGACTAGAATGGTCTAATGAGACAATATGATTGATTTTAGCACTTAGGTGCACTAAATTTTTAGAAAATGTAACTTTTTTGCACTTAGGTGTCCAATTTTTGATTGGACTATTAGATCATATCCAAAACTTATCTCATTAGTTATCTTATGGAATAAGCTTTGTGTGGGTACTTGAATCACTCCGATCGGACATCGCATGTGAAAACAACACATGTTGAAAGTTCATCCTGCCAACTATCATATGATAGTTGCAAAATTTGTCATGTGCACCACAGTGCACAACATGCTTACGTCGCGGCGCATGACACAAAGAAGAGCTACTCGTGGCTATGTGCCACATGCCGCGGCGCATGACTTAGTTTTTGACCTTATTTCTTTGTTCTAAAAGTATGCATGGATTCCAATGAATAGATAAGTTACCTTCTGCTATGCTATGCTCTATTTTGTATTGAGTAAGTTGAGAATTTTGATGATTTACAAAATGAGTCTTGGATCTAAACTTTTCAAATAAAGTATTTGAATACAGTTTGGTCTTATTAGTGTGGTGATTAAGTTAACCCCTCCTAATGTCAGGTGGATATTAAGAGAGATTACATCTCACACACTAAGTCTCCACATGGTTCTCATGTTTTTGCTCCTCCCAATTAGCATTGTTGTTCTAGCCTCTCATCTTGGCCAACGCTTATTCTTGTTTTTAAATCCCTCCAGTAAGGCCTAAAACTAAATCCCACATCTTCCTCAACAAAGCATCATTATTTTAAGGTTGTAGTTGCTAATTAGCAATATTAGTTCCTTGAGTGAGTGTTCATCTCTCCTCTCCTCAAGGATGCAGTAATACCAACAAGTTAGCACCATTAAAATAAATCACAAAAAAGATAGAAGCATATGTGTTAATAGTGGACATTATTATGAGAAACCTATATGCAATGCGCACACAACTTCATAGAGCCTTGAAACACAAGGTTCTAATACTGATAATATAACGCCTTACTTTCAAACCATACAATGGTAAAAAAAAAAAAAAAGATCCAGCATGATAGAAAATATTGAACTAATCTGTTTTAAAATAAAATGAAATTAAGTTTAGAAAGTGTTTAGAAGCATTAACACCAATCATAGAAAATGTTCATACTGTTAGTACTCGATGAACCAATAGATGCAAATGGTCAAAGAGAATGGAAATCAAGCTTTGTTTCTAAAAGGAGTTTCAACAATAAGATAGAACCCGTTACCATGTTTCACTTAATCTTTGTGACCCATACCGAGAAATCCCAAATTATGAAAAATAAAAATCATTCCAGAGTTTCACGCATATTAAGTGAGTTACCCTTAAATGCCAACTTGGACACTAGAGGACTTGCTTCTAGACTCGGTTTCCCCATTAATCTTCCTAATGGCCGCACTTTATTTCACAGATCCACCGGTCACTTGTCCGATGGATGCCTCATCATCAATTTTCTCTATCAGTCATCATCATCTTCTTCTCACTCTCTTCTTGTGTGGTTACTTTAAAATTGGAAATCATCTTAAATCTCAAAATTCCTCCCATCAATTTTCTGAAGTATTATAAAAATCCTAGACCACAATCCTGTGAAATGTCTTTAGGTGATTTATGACTTTCTCCACTGATTTGATAGTGGACTTGACTTGAGAATTTGCTTGTTTCTTGCAATTTTCCTTGAAAATGCTGTCATCAGGAAAAGGTTGTGGATTGGGAAGGGTTGGTCTCGAATGAGGAAGAAGATAGCATTTGAAGAGTTTTTGGATTTTTGAACTAATCACACCCTATCATACTAACAAGGTTAAGGTAATATTGTACCTTTAAATATTTTATAATGCCAATTACACCTTTTAGAAAAAGGCAAATTTATACTTAGCCCTATTGATTATAATAACTTACTGTTGTCATGCAAAATAACATTCTTACAACTTTGGGGTAGCTTATAAAAAAAGGTTGATTTCATAGACCATATACTAGTAATATCCTAGTAACGTTATGATAATGGCAACAATATAATAAGGGAAAATTATATGTAAGTTCCACACAATACATTTAAATACTTTAAGCTATTAATGTGTTGTTAATATTTTATCATTATAATAATATCCTGTCATTATAATGTGTTGTTATTTTCTTTTATTAAGTTATTAATAGACTTTGTAGTATTTAATTGTAACATATGGGACTTCAAAATAATTCTCTCTTATACTAATAATGAAGCAAGTTTGCAGGTAAGAAATGAAGCACATTTATTTAAGGATATTTTTATCATTTCACTAAGGTTTTTTTTTTTTCCCTTGTTGATGTAGGTAGGTTGGCTCTTAAATTGCAAGAACTAGATATGAAAAACTCCATAGTCACCTTCAAGTATTTTTTAGATAGGCAAATAATTACGCTAAGTGATTGCTTAACAGGCCTCAACCAATAACATAGAAATTCAAATTTTTGATATCTTACCGATTAGTTATAGCAATATTTTGTACATTGCTATGACCTAAACTATTTTTTTTGTACAGGTTTACCTGTTGTCCTGCATTAAAAAAAAAAGGTGATATTTCCTTAATAATGTAGTTTGTATAAATTTTTATATCTATACTGGTCAAATTTTTTTTAATATTTATGGGTATTTTTTTCCCCACAAAATCGATATGTGGATACTGAATTTTAGATTTTGGTCGTTCGTTATTTGAATTTATTTCTTTTTCCCCTTTTTTAAAAAGAAAATCCCCAAATCTACCACCATCCCTAAATCCCTACAGGCCTCTCGCTCTCATCCTCTCAATATCTGACAGTCGACCACCCTCCTTCAGCTTTTTGCTCTCTCTCTCTCTCTCTCTCTCTCTCTCTCTCTCTCACATATCCTCGCTTCAACCCTCTTGGAGTTGGAAAGCTTCGCCAAATAGGATATTGTAAGTACTATATTTCACTGTTAGTTCGCTTATCCATGCTCCTCATTTTCATATAGGCTTATTTTCATATTTAAACTTTGTACTTGACTATGGTTTATTTTGCTTTAATTTCATTGTCTGTTAGTTGAACTTTTAGTTTTCTCATTTTGTTGCGACAGTTTTTCCTTTGTTTTTTTTTTTATTGGGTTGTAATTGAATCTTCTGCAATGTTATTGCAATCCTTTTTTATTTTAACCAATTCATGGTTTGAGAAGTGTATACGGTTTGCTTTGAAGTGGTCAGAAGCCAAATTGAAGTGCCATCAGATTTTTTTTTTTGCTATTATTTCACTGTTTATTCTAATTTTTTTTTTTTGCTAATTTCATTACTATTGTTATTAAATTTTGATATATGTTATTAAATTTTCATAATCTATTGTTCCCAATTGCATAATGCTGTATGTTCCTTATAAAAATATGAATGATGATTCTAAATTTGTACTGTGTTATTTCTCCATTATCTATTTTCTTGTGTCTTATTTTGGTTTGTTGTCATTCCCTCCAGTAGCTGAAAATGGTTATTAGTTTATTGATTCTCTGTATTTTTTCCTTTTATGTTTTGGATTTTATATTTTATGCTGTATGTGTGATACATTACACTGTTGTTTTTTCCCGCCCTCAACCTCTCAAAATTCCTTTCTTTTGGCCATTGTACTTTGTAATAGCTTCTCCATGTTGCCTTTCATCCTATAAACCATATAACACTTGTTTCTCATTTGATTTGGTTTCTTAATTTTCATTAATCTGCTTATCATACTTCCTTGTTGAATAATTTTTCTCCTGGATATACCTCTATACCATTGTTTTGGTATTGGTGTAAAATTATTATGAGCTTATGAAGAAGAATAAATTGAAGTATGGCTTAATTTCAAATGTTAAATGCAAGCTATCGTAAGGGTGATGGATATTTACTCAAATATGCTTCAAATTTAATAAGAACAAACGAATCACATTCCTTATATCTGATACTTTGATTTCTTGAAATTATCTAATTGCCAAAAGTTGAATTGATACTTGAAGACTTGAAGGCCATTAATAACTGATGATTAAAATAAAAATTGGAGTCTATTATCTCTGAGATGGTAGACAAGAAATAAAGTGTAGTTATTTTATTAGATGATGGGAAAGGGAATTGATTTCATAATTATTTAAATTTTGAAGAAACATAAACAGAAGCCCCTAATTTTGTAAAATACCATCTCTTTTTGTTTTCTTCTTTCATTTGAATTAAAGTCGGGCTAACATGATAGTATATTGAATGGTTTTTCCTATTGGGTTTTATAAAGATTGTTCTGAATATATATTTGGTCTTCAGCATGCCTATTGTATTCAGATTCAGCTCTCAAATTTGTATCAATGACAAGTTCCTTACAAAAAATTGATACCTACTGTGAGATACCTTTGTGGGTTTATATTTTCATTGAACTTTCCTTCACATTCTTTTGGATCACCTGTTTTATGCATTTTAAAGGAAAATGCTACATTGTGAAACGTCAGCATTTTATCATTTCAGAGGCGTTTCTCATCAGCATCACACTTCTAACTGATGACGAACTGTCTAATTGATAATTTCATATAATTTAGGTTTTTTTTTAATTACTGTAGTAACATTGATGTTTGGGGAATTGGCTGATATTCCATTGATTTTATTTCTTTGAAGGCAGACACCTTATTTTCCTTTTATGTGGACTCTTTTTCCCCTTCTCTCTCCAATAATATGTCTTCTTCTTTCCCATAAGTTGTATGTATTCCTGTTCTGTAATAACATAGAAGACTGACTTATGGGCCTGTATAATTTCCCCTTAGTTTATTAAAGCACATTATAAGAGCATAATTCAAAATCTTGACAACCATCAAATGGAGACTTAAGCAAGCATGAGACTGACCCTTACAAACCAATTTGTGAGGGAGAAAAATCATGCCATTAAATACTGTAATAATTGTTTTAGCTATGAAATGTGGGATCCATAGTACCATTGCCCTTGAAGAGCCAACATTCTCAACACCAATAGCAGAAGCACTGTATAATATGGACATCCCTTTGTATAATTATGTGATGCTTGCGGCACTCTCTACAGGTAGCCCTTTTCAAAGAGGTTGCTCTGCCCTCATGACAGGCATTGTTTCATTAATGTTTTCCATGTTCCCCTTGTTAAGAATTGAGTTTTTTTGCTATGCAAACTTCTTTTGCATGATCTGTATTAATTATCTTAGTTGCTTATATACTTATTGGCATACATGTACTTTCAGAGATGGAGTCTCTTGGTTATGTGGATGACCTCCTGAATTTCTCATCAGACATAGGTGAAGAAGATGAGGAGGATGATAAACCTAGGAAAGCCCTGTCTTCTCTTACCCTTAAATGTAGTGATCCTGCATCATTAAATGCTTTGAACGCAGATGATCCAAACCATTCATTTTCTGTAAGTTTGATGGGGCATTTCATCATTTTAATGTTTATGAGTGTAGAAACAAGGTTTAATTTTCTTTTGTACTTTTTTATAAGATAAAAGCAATAATTCCTTTATCAACATTAACAGGGAGGATATACTCCTATCTGACTAAAACACATAACTATGAAAAATAATATAACTTCATGCTAATTAAAATATGATTACAGTTAAAACAGAACCCTTAACTTATCTTATTCTATCAGAAATAGAACATCTGAACTAACCTTTAAACACACAGACGGGTATCCCAAAAACGTACTGAAATCAAATATTTATTTCTTAAAATAAAATAAATGGCAATTAAAATGGATGCATAATGACATAATATCCAGTGTTCCCCCTGATCTAGGTATTCCTTGCTTCGAGTTAGAGTTTTTCAAATTTAATCCTTGAAAGTTGAAACAGCCCTAGTCATTAAGTTGATCTACCAGGACATTAGTTGGTTGTTTCTCAAGAATCCAAATTTTGGATTTGTTGTTGTTGGTGCTCGATGGAGCATGTTAGGAATATATAAGAACAAAATTAGGGCCACTCAAAGCCCATTATACTTGGTCCATACTAGTTGACTGATATATGAGCAATGTCAATGTAGGCAAGACTTATGCATTTCATTTGAGAAGTAAACATAACTTATCTGCATTATTCTGTTTTTTTTTTTTTCCTTGTCAAAAACTCTTAACATGATATCATATCAGAGCCATTGCTCTTGCGAGCATATTCCTATCAATTTCAACCAAAGCCTTTAATCAGCAGAACAGTGTCTGGTAAAAAAAAAAATAGCAGAACAGTGAAATAGATCTTCTATAGGCCTATGAATCCAGATCTCCTATTTCAAGAACGTGCAAGAAAATCATCTTCTGCTGTAGGATTGAAATATGTCGATTTGGAAAAGCCAGTTTTGATCGTGGTTGAGAATTGCAGAGATCTGTTTTCAAGGCTTTCTTGTTCAACTCCCTTAGAGAAATCGTGCATTGGGGAGAAGCTAGCAGGGATCAACAATGATAGTTTTTGAAGCAGATCAGTGGCATGAGATTATGTTGTCTTGGAGAGTGGCTTGACATGGGTTTGGTGTGGGATCTAGAAAGAGGAAGCTATGGCATCCAGAAACAAACTGCCACTGTTGTGCGGGCTGGTTCTGTTTGTGAGATGTTTGGTAAAACAGGAGAGGAATCTGATTCATGAATCCAGTGAGAGAGAGTATTAGCCCCATAGGTTGTAACATTGCAAGAAGATTAAAGCAGAGAGAGAGAGAGAGAGAGAGAGAGAGAGACAACAAAGAGAAGCTGGGAAAATATAGTTGTTTTCCCCCACATAATAAAGATTTTAAAAGAAAAACAGAGAGAAGAGAAAACATGATGATGAAGATTGGAAGGTGGGAAAAGAAAATGAGGGAATGGTTGATTGAAAAGAAGAAAGAATGAAAGAGAGAAGATGAGGAAGGAAAGAAATAGTTTGATGATAACGATGAGAAGTTGAAAACAAAAACAACGGATAGTTTATTTGGAGTTAATCATTAAGACAGGATCATCGTTAGATAAGGGGAAAATGAAAAAAGTAGTGGATATCAGAAGAATGAAGATGAAGACAGTGGAATGTTTCTTGCTACCAGGTCAATGATATCAATGCTTGCAAACCCGTGGCTATCTTGTGTCCAATTCAATTGTTGCATTGTTGCTGCTGTCTTAGTTAGTGTTGGTACGCATCTTGTTTCTTCTGGTTTGTTTTATTTGAAAAGGCAAAAGAAAAAAATATCAGTAGAATGTTAGGAATATATGATAATATAGTTTGTGTTGGTAGATGTTGGTTCATGTTAGCGGAATGACAAGTGAGCAAGTCAGTGCATATAAAGGACTTAGTGTTGCATTTTGATTGAGAAGGAAATTATCATTTCGCCACATTATTCCGTGTTTTCTCTCCAAATCTTTAACAGTGCTGCATCATCAATAATGGAATTTTTCCTGCCACATCCTTGGATATATATTTAAGTGTTTTCATTCCAATTAGTTGGGTTATTTCTTTGCCTGACTCCTCTTTAATGGTCTTGAGTGGTTCAGGCCTTCAAGGCTTTAATACATGTAGAAATTTAAGATTCAACTTTGAGCTTTTCTTAGTAGATGGAAGCCATGCGAAACAAAAAACAAACAAAAAAAAAAATCTTCAATTAAAACATGTAACTCCTAAATATGATAACTTCAACTTGATCAAAGTAAAATAAACTCTATCTGGACAGAACATTTAACTTGATCCCATTCTAACCAAAATAAAACTTATAAACTGCCATTGCCCTTGTGGCACGCTGATCACCCTCGGATCCCTCTCACCTACTAACACTTGTAATCAAAATCAAACTCACAATACTCGTAAAATGCTCAGAAATACTATCCAAAAGAATAAGTAAAAACAGAAACTAAAATAAAATCAATTTGATCAAAAGAGAAGTTCATAATGACATAATCTCTAACAATGAGTTAGTGAGAGAACTGAATATGTTGCAAACTAATTGAGTTGTGCTTTTTGGGACTTCTGCCATTAAGAAAAGAGAAAGCAAGGAGAGGAATTTCATTTTATATTTTATTGGAATGAGGGTTGGCCCTCAAATTGTTTGTCAAGAGAGTACAGCATTTCTTGCTTCACAAGTTTGTCTTGTTGGACGTTTAATGCTTCAGTCATGGACTAGTACTACCCCAATGGCATGTTGGAAATTATAAATTGCCACTATAACCTAAACCTTTGTCTAGCCTTGTCCTCAGAAATTTGGTCTACTATCAGTAATGATATTTATCTTGTCAAGGCTTGAATATCATTAGTTTCCCCCAGAGTTTTGATTTTTGTTTTCTATCTATATTATGGGTTATCTCAGATAGATTAGAAGTATAAGCATTCTGCATTACATATTCCATCTTACTGCCATACTTTTAATTCAACTGGGTTTACTCTAATCTGTTGGTAACAATTGTCACGTACAAGTCAAAGCCGGGTGCTGTTATTCAGCTTGGAAGAATTCATTGTTTTTTAATACCTAAAGTCTTAAGAGTGATGTGAAGATTAACTTTCCTTTCCCATGATTCAGGAGTTTGCAGAAGAAGAGCTTGAGTGGCTATCCAACAAAGATGCTTTCCCGGCTGTTGAAACATTTGTTGACATTCTCTCTATTCAACCAAACCTATCAAAGCCCCAAACCCCAGTCTCAACGCTTGAATACAGTGCAAGCAGTACCAACAGTAATAACAGTGCTAACAATGTTACCCTCTTAGACGGCTATAATCACACTAAGGTTCCTGTCCGACCACGAAGCAAGCGTCATAATAGGCAACCCCGTGGTGTTGCTGACATATCTAGCCGGCAAATTTGGCGGAACCAACCGAGTAACACGATTACCAAGCCAGAAGCAATGATAACAATCTCAGTAATAGGAAGGAAATGCCAGCACTGTGGAGCAGAAAAAACTCCACAGTGGCGGGCAGGACCCCTTGGGCCAAAAACTCTTTGTAACGCATGTGGGGTTAGGTACAAGTCTGGGCGACTTTTGCCTGAATACCGCCCTGCAAGTAGCCCTACATTTTGTAGTGAATTGCATTCAAATTCCCACAGGAAGGTAATTGAGATGAGGAAGCAAAAGCAAATGGGAAGCAACGGATGAAGGTGATGGTAATGGTGAGTTTTGCTTTAGAACATAGAAATTAGTGTCGTTAGGACTTAGTTATTTCTTTTAATTATTTATATTTAATTTAATTTAATTCTTCTCTCTCTGTGGGATGAGCTTAGATCACAGCTAAAATTATTTGTTTTTATGGATGATCCAATCAGGCGAGTCTTGAATTTGTAGTGTCATGGTTTTGTTGGAAACGACTAGTCAAACATTCTATTAGTTTTGGCTGTTTTCATGGTTGTCATTTTAGTCAGATTCAGGTTTAGGTAAAGCATGAGTCAGTTTAGTGATGGATAATGTAATATACAGTCTAATGTTGTTGTGACATCGTTTAGGTTGTCTTGAGACATTGTAACATTGTTCATGTTGTATTTTTAAGGTTGATCTGTTGTATGACTTATCGGAAAAGACAGGCAATATTTGTCCCTTAATTATCTGATCGTCTTTTGACTTAGAAGTCCTGCTTCGTGAGAAAAATTATACATGAATTGGTGAAACTGAAAGCTTTCTTCTTTATTCGAAGTAGTCATATTTTATGAGGAATAAGCGCTATTTGAACCTTGATGTTCAATAATATTTTTGTAAGTTGAGTAAATGTTGGTTGATTGAAGCTACTTGGCTATTCTGTTGCATTAATGAATTTTCCTTTCCCATTTCTCATTCTCAATAGTTGCTAGTTTGACTATTTGATGAGATCAAAATTATACCAATGATATTATACTTCAAAAAGACGAAATTTTAGTTTCTATTTATTTATTGCGAGTTTTCTGATACAAATGTGATAATTGAAACTCTAGTTAGGGGACATGATCATTTGTTTAAATTTTCTATAATAATCTTTATCCCATTTTTCTCCTCCATTTTCCCAGTTCTTCACTGGATTATAATGCCCCTTCTGGACCAAATTATAAGTGGCGTTTAACATTTAGCAATTAATTTGCATATCAATAAAATACTTGTTCTTATGAAAACATATTGTTTCCTATTTTTTATCCTCAGTTCTAATTTATAATGAGTAAGAATACTATAAATTCAAAGACGCTTGAATTTAGATTAATAAATACAAAAGGCAAAATGGAATTTTTTTCTTACAAATATTAAGTTGCTTGTATTTTGGATCAAGACTAGTTGAAAGAAAATGTTTATATTTGGATTGGAAAGAGTATGAAATAGAATTTGAAGGAAGTGTAAATTTACTATTCACCTAACTTTTATGGACTCCTTTTTTCGTTACAAAATAATTTGCATCAAATTTAAATTTCTGAATTGTAGGAACACTCTGCTATCATATATGTACATAAAATTAATGCATGCTATTTAGTCTCACTTGATCCAGTCACCATCAGTAATTTGGCCAATTTATATACAGGAAATTATTACATAAAAGATCCAAATAAGATATGCATCACAAACTATCTCCTTATGGCATGAAAGGTCACACACACGTACACACAGCCTCGGTTGCAGATGATCTCCTCCAAAAGGTCATTAAAAGGTCTCTCTCTCTCTCTCTCTCTCTCTCTCACACACACACACACACAGCTTCAGTTGCAGATGACCTCCTCCAAAAGATCATTAAAAATCAAGTCATCTAGCTCAAGTCCCACACATTCAGAATCAAACTGGAGATTCATCCAGCCATCACTTCTTGCCAAGTCCCTGCTCACATGGTAATCCAAAGATGGATAAAACTCTGAATTTATGTTCAGATACCACCTGACTAGTGTCCACACTTGTCTTAGAACTTGATCTCCCACTGGTATTGGGTAAACATGAGACAGAGAAGACAAGGATTTTGGGTAGTAACTGTATGATCTTTCAAAAATCTCAATCAATATCTCATTGATCAAATCAAACAAAAGCAAATGGTTACAATGATTAGCACCAGCAGCTTCTTCAATTCTAGAACTTTCAGGATCAAACAGTAAGCAACCTTCTAGTTCATCATACACTGTGGGATCAACTGGTTGTTCATCGGAAAACCATGTCCCAAGTGATTCATGACTTGTGGATAACCCTGATAGCTCTAATACACCTTTCACATAGGTAAATTCAGCTTCACTGTTTGCATCTACTTCGAGGTCAGGAATTCCCACGTTCAAGTGCTTCTTGTTCTGAAACACAAATTTCTGAAAATCATCTTCACTGCTCACCACTTCATGATAGTCTCCAATGTCAAGCCCTAGTAATTGCTCTGTCAGGTGATCAGACCCATCTGTTGGCCATGGATTTACTTCTGATTCTGTTCCATGCAACCATTACCAGATGATGATGTAGGAAACAAGTTTATTCTCAGAACTGTAAAAATAACTAAATACAGAACACAAAATTTTGTTTATTATAGCATACTTAACAATTTAAATATAGTTAGACAAAATTAATTTGCAGGTCCTTCTAGCTTTATTTAATTATGAATTAGGTCCTTGTAGTTTTTTTATTTCAATTAAGCCCTTATAGTTTGATTAATTAAATATACTAGTCCCTTACTATTAAAGTTAATAATGAATTAATTTTTTCAAAACAAATTGATATTTTTAATATTTTTAGCCAACAAAGGAAAAATGATTTAACACAATAATTACATTTTTTGCTAATTTTGTTATCAAAATTCTATACGTATAAAAGTTATTTAGAAGACATAACTTAATTATATAAATGGGAGAATTACTCTAAGGTCCTATTCAACATAATTAATTACTCTCAAATCCATTGACATTTGAGCTTTAAAGGATGACAATACATGCTCAGTTGTTAATGGACTTAGGAGTAATTAATTATATTGAGTGGAACTTGTATGTAATTCTCCTTTTATAAATTTTGAGGCATAAAAATTATGTAATTAATTATAAAATTATACAATTTCTTAATAAAATATAAAAGTTCTTAATTAACAAATAAATTAATATTTTAAGTAATTAAACTAAATAATGCGCTCTTTCTAGTACTTACTGTATGGTTCTTGAGTAATATCATAAACAGGATCGTAACAAGGCTTGCAAGTTTCAAAGGGAAAATTTTTAATATGCTCTACAAGAAATTTGAACAATTCAAATTCGAAGTTATTATAATATCATTTTCCGAATCTAAACATTATGTGTCAAAGCAACATTTGACATGATTTGACACAAACAGTTCCAGGTTGAAAGTTTTTAGGTCGTAATTAGAGACTTGATGTTTCCCAATTCAAGATTACTTTCCTTTGTTCCCATGTTTGAACTTCTAATATTTTTTAGTAAGCATATGGATATTCATTAATTTCATGCACTATTATTGACTTGAGGATATTAGAAGTTCCTCAAGAAAAAGTTTGAGTATTTTTTCATCTTAATCCCTTATCTCAATTTGCACAAGTATATGGTCACTCTCTTAAATGGACCCATTTCTATTAAGGTTAAATGGTAAATTGGCCCTAAATCAATGAGAAGATTCTATTAAAGACCAGTTCGAGAAGAAAGCGATAGAAGATAAATTAAATCTGATTTTATTTTGTTTGAATATTATTTAGGAGATTTTATTTATTAAGAGATTTCATTTAGATATTTAGATTTTATTCATTTATTTAGATCTTATTTAGATTTAGATTTTATTTAGTCTTTCATTATCTAATTATCTAAATTTTATTTGTATTTGCCTTTATAAATATGACTAGCAATTCAAAAGCTAGCATATCATCAATAGAATAATTCATTAAACCCTTTGGAGTTTCTCTTAAGCGTGGCTATTGAGAAAAATATAGAATGAGATTCTTGTTCTATATCATTTTGATCGACTTATTTCTCTTGTTTTCTCTTATCAGTTTGAGCATCTATCATCATAGGTTCAATAGCATCTAGGATTCTAAAATTGTTTTCGGTACAATATTCCCCTTGAACTTTGGAAAATGGTGCAATATTGCTCCTATCATTAACATATTAATTTTGACCATTAGTTGACTAAAAAAAAAAAAAGACATCAACAATTACAGAAAATGACCAAAAAAATTTGTTGGTTATTTTTTGTAATTATTTGTGTCCTTTTTTGTAATTTTGGGTGCTTTTTTGGTATTTTTCTGTAATTTTTGAGAACATTTTCTATAATTTTATAATCAACTGATATTTAAAATTCACTTTTGTTAATAGTAGGGAGAATATTGTATCATTTTAAAAAGTTGAAGGAAAATATTACATCAAAAATAAATTTAGGGTCCTAACCATATTGTCATATAACCTTTCTACTGTTAAAAAGGTTTAAGCAAACAGAGATAATGATTTACTTAGTGAGGGAAGATGAAAATGCAATCCATGATTATCAAAAGACAACGCACACATACCTTTTGGTAAAGACAGCTTCCCATCAGAGCTAATTGAATCATCCAGGAAGCTAGAGCCGGAGAAGGAGATTGATTTTGTTTCAGCCACCATAGAAGTTGATTCATTGACATCACTGTCACTTAACTTTCCAAAATAATCATCAATTCCTATGCTTTCATTCTGATTTGAGTCCTTGTCTTCTTCATCTGATACCACCCCTATATCGCTTCTGGTGGCTATATCTCTTTGGACACCTTTTAAAACACTTTCTGGAGTTGTGATGTTGTCCACACTAGTACTTGGACTAGTGGTTCTCTCTCTAAATTTTCTAATAGGAATCTGTGGAGGTAAAATCGAAGAAGGCTCCTCATTTTGAGAAAAGTAATCTTTAAGATTAGGTAGTGAAAGAAACCTTTGAAAGGATTTTGGGGTCCTTAGTACTGAATTTTTCTCTTCTACTTTCAACTTTAACCTTTCAGATCTAGGGTACTTAGCTGCTTTGTTAAAACAAGTATCATAAAGCTGAGAATATGTCCAAACTGACTCATTCAAAGATGAAGTCCTCATTGGAGATATTTGATGCTTTTTAAAGCTGCGAGATTCAATTGCTGAAATAAAATCTGTAGGACATCTGGGAATCTTGTTAGATTCTATGGGAAGTTTATTTCCATGAGGAACTTTGTGATATACAGCATCCATGGCTATACGGCGTTTCTCATTTTTGCTCTCTTCAAGAACATGTTTTACCTTCTGTCTAAGATCCTTGAAACGCTTAATAGCCCTAGGATTTCTAACCTGGGATGGTACTGATGCATAATAAGAGTTCAATGACACAGGCTGCTGGTCACTTTTTTCTGAAGATTCAAACTGGGATATTGCAATTTGTGTTTGACTATCACTTTTCACATCTCTTGATATGAACATTTCATCTGGTTTTTTGTCTGTGTTTTGTCCTTTGATTGTGGATGATGATGAACCAGGTACCGGAAATGAAATAGACTTATTCAGTCTCAATTTTCCTGTTGATGCTGCCTGTTGTTGGTTAGGAAAGTGGCATCCTAGAGGAGAACGTTGATGCTGCAAAAATTTTAACAAAAAATCCTTATTTGAATTTATCATGTCAAGAGCATCCAAGAAATCCTTGAAGAGAAAAGGTGAGACGTCAGTTGTAAGTAACTTGGCATGCATTGCTTTCTCTTCGTAGCTCAGTGTTTCCTTCATAAATGCTCTGTGATATTCTGATGGTGGCTTGTGATGCTTATGAACCATACTATTATTATCATCCTCCATTGAATCCCTAGAAAACATGGTCCCACATTCTACACAGATCTCTTTATTGGCTGTTGAGCTTGCTAGTGGCAGATCCTCCTCCAACATGTCAGTAATGTGTGGAACCATTTTGGGATTATTTTCAGAGACAAGATTAAGTTCTGAATGATCTAAGTTGGGAATGGGAATGGGCTGGTTTGGTGGTTTTGGCTTTACAGGGTAGGTTGAACTTCTTTTATGTTGACACTTGTTCTTTCTGGCTATCTCATCCGTAACAAGTGCTTTCAGTCTGGCTTTAACAGAGTGTTTGGCCAGTGAAGTGGATTGTACTGGCATTTCTTCAACCTGGCAAGATATCAAGTTAGATGCATCAGTAACAAATACAGAGAAGCTAATAAATGGGAGGGCCAAACTCTAATTTAATATTTTTTATAAGTCAAAATTTTAAATTTTTCCAAAAGAGTATTGGAGGGGAGAAGGCTTCTCTTGTCCCCCTCTAGATTTGTCACTGGGTGCACTTTTATGGAATCCCATTATGGTGGAAATGGGTACTTCATTTTTTCCCTACAAAATTGACATTAGCAATTTTATAATACTACACCGCTTCTTAATATAACACAACGTTAACATATTTCGCACTTATTAAAAAATATTAGTTATGACTTTTAAATTGTAAAATGATCAAAAGAATCACAGAAAAGATCTGGAATTATAAAAAGGACCAACAAATAAAATTTTTAATTTTTTGATCCTTTTCCGTGATTCCTTAGTCCTTTTCTGTACATTTTGAAGTCATTTTCTGCAATTTTTTAGTCAATTAATAGTCAAAATTAATGATGAGGGAGATTGCCCAGTTTTAAATGTCTAGGAGTAAAAACGTACCAAAATGAATTTAAAGTCTTAGATACTCATAAAGTTATAGTTTAAGGCCAATTTGTCATTCTACACGTATAGCTCATATCTGTTTGTTTGTGTAAAAGATATTTAGAAACATGTTTTTAGTAAGGAATGGAAAGATTTTTTATTCCCCTTGTGACATGAATGAAAACTACTTTTTCTCTCATTTTATATTCAACTCTTGTTGCCCTTCCCACGAAAACAGAGGTTTCTCTTTCTCACATGAACAAAGAAAAGTTTTGCTCTTCTCCTTTCCAACAAATACAAAGCAATATCATAATGACCAAGTTCTATAGTATTACCATATGATGGTTGACATGCATAATGTCACAAATAAAACACTACAATTAAAAAAGAAGGAACTCAAGCAAGACATTTCCCCTTACACTAGATAATTTTGAGTTGGGCCCATAGTCCTGCAAATCGTCAGCTCTACCTGGGCCATCAACTGCTACAATGTGAAAGAGTGCTTGTGATTGTAATATCTATGAAATGGAAACAAAAATTTCGGTGGCATATAACAAACAGGAGAAAAAATGTATACATGTGTAGCAAATGAGAATAAAAAGCTATTTTCAAACTTCCTTTCATTGTTTGGTAGTTTATTCTGACTTCATATGTATAAATGAGAGCTTAAAAAATTAGGCATAGAAAAATTAGTGAGTGTTTTGAATTATCAACTTCTATAACATAAAAGTAGCGGCAATTATTGCAACCACATTACACTAAACTCAATCTTCTACAGTCATACATTCAAAAAGAGCACGAGACAAAATAATATAACTATGTATGCGTTCTACTTCACCTTTTTTTATCATTCATGAAATGCACTATAGTCTTTTAATGACTTCAAAAGATCTGAATTGTACATTGCAACATGATGAAAAATTCATGTCATTGCATTACAATGGATTTGCAAGGTAACAGCAGTATTCAGTAGTTCCCTGTGGTGTTGTTTGAATTTGTGACTGCAATTTCTTAATAATGATGAAAAAATTGTTAATTTCTTAATAACTACAGTCATATAAATCTACATTGCATAATGATGAAAAAATTGTGGCTGCAATTTCCGTTTGCAGTATTTACAATACCTGCAGCCTTAGTAATCACAAACGCAACCACACCAGCAATTTAAAACACTATGATCAACATTGAGGTTTTCATGGTGCCCATATTAAAATATGATCTGATTGTTGATTTAACCCAATCTTTTCTTTTCATTTCTTTTTTTGGTCTTTGTACAGTTTTACCGGGACATTCGATTCCAAAAAGAAAAAAGAAATAGTCAGATATGAAGCTTTTTTCCTTGGAACAGTCCAGAGTAAACTTACAGGCAGGATTTTTTCCACCACTATTCTTCTTGTGTGTGAGCCTTTTCTTGACATTATGAGGCCAGTGATGATACTTCATAATATTAAGAATGTTCCAAGATCTTCCATGATGACTGGTACTAGCACCAGTACCATTATTCTCCACTGCCATGTCATGTTTTTTATCGCGATTTCTTTTTCCCATGACTCGTCAGATTCAACTACAAAAATTAGTTCAGTGAAAGAGTTAGTCATTAAAGTAACAAGATAGTTGTATGTTAGTCAAGTGTTTAGAGAAGCCAAAATGATTAACTTATAACAAATTTGTTATTTTTGAGAAACAGTGAGTAGTAATTTGTGTATTCATTCATTTCCAAGACCAAAACTAATAAATTGACCCGAAAATTGTTAGACCAAATTGAAAAAAGAATTTCAAAGATTGAACATCACATATTACCTGGAGAACATTATGTTGTGAACTTCTCAATTTGATTAGTCTTTAATTCCATGGAGACTTTCCTTTTTTATTAATATTACCGACGTTTACATAAATGATACCAATAAAAATCTATCTGTACAAGGTTTTTTTTTTTTTAATAATTGTAAAGGGAATTTAAATTCCACAAACTGGTCAACAAACTTGAAATATTGGCAACAGTTAAGATCATCCATACAGTACTTTGTAAGAAGGAATGTTGGGTAGAAACTTGAAATCCTAACTGCATCTAATTGAACAAGAATCTCTTCTTATACCAAAAATGAAAATTCTCAACATAGATTGAAATGTTTCTCTCCATGAATCCCGAACAAACGGCATTGTTCAGTTACAGAAGAATCCGATAACAGGGTATTGATATAAAACATTGAACATAATCCATAAATCCTATCCCAATATTTATCTCATGGAATTGAATTTTGATGTTTGAAATAAAAGAAGAACAGAAGGGAATGTGAAAGGATTCGTTTTGATTAAACGAGGGAAGAAAAATTACCAATGTGAATCCTGTAACGAAATCCTTGTGCTCATGCGATACCAGACACGGAATGAGAAGATGAAGAGAAATTGATGTAACGCTAGGCATTGTTTTTCTGTGATCCTTGGAATGAATCTTAAGGAGAAGAAAATGGTGGGAGATTGATATTAGGCAAAATCAAGGAAACACCAACTCCACAAAGTTCCCGGATTATTTTCCATTTTTCTTTCAATTTTTTCATTTTCTTTTCTTTTCTGGCCATGCAAATTCTCATTTAAATCGTCAATTTTTTCAATTATCTTGTTTTACTTAATTAATAATTATAGATTATGGCAGTAAGAATTCCCCCCCCCCCTCGATACTATAGCAACATGGAATAAAATTTCATATTAGTGCGTTGTGAATTTGTGATAAGTGATAACCTCCAATCTGTCCAAAACCAATGTGCGTGTATGTTTCCAATAATAATCTTCTAAGCATATTTTTTATTTAAATACAAAATAATAGCAAAAATAAAAAGGAAACAAGTTGGAAAAAATTGTGAATAAACAAACAACAGGCTGAAATTAAAAATAAAAGTTGAAACACAATAAACACATATCAGCCTGAAAAGGATTGATTTGAAGAAGAATTCGGTGGACCATCTTGAATTTATTGAAAAGGGAGTGAATATCAATTGTAATCGTCAATGATAAACTTGACCTTCTAAGCATTTGCAATACAATATGTACATTTCGCCTTCTTTTACCTGCACAATAATATAATACTTGAGCAACACAAGAAATAATTAAAATTTCAATGTCTAGAATGTTAATTACTCTTTCATGAATCTTGCAAGGACAAGAATTCTTTTCAACCTAAAATTAATATGAAATTAATAGTCAACATTAATATCCGTCCTTCAAAGGTGACATTCTAATTATTTTAATATTTAATGGGCAGCATTGTTCTGATAAATAATTTAAAATAACTAATAGTTTTCACGACATAATTCAAAATTAAAAATTGAACAATTTAATTGAAGACTTCATGCTAATAACCGGACTGTCATGCATTCACAACTCTCCTTTCGGTCTTGCAATACTGTTAATTTTCTTTTTCTAGCCAATTTTTTTATCTCCAATCTCGTTGGATGTTAAACTTTTTATTTTCTTTCATTTTTACTATTTTGTATTATTATTTATATATTTGATTTGCTACAAAAATACACACACATTCACAACAAAATATTTATGGCCATTAAATAATATAAATTAGATATCAAACTTTTTCTAATAATATAAAACTTTAAATATAATATTACTAAATCCAAGATATCCACGCTAACTAAATATATTAGGCATTGTCAAAACAAGCGTGTTGCAGTTAGCTTGTTACTTGCATTCTACAAATTTACAAACGATGTGCGTAAATATGTCTAAATAGACATTAGAATTATTTTAGTTGTCATTCACATTAAGTGTTCGGTTCATGAACAGTAAAATGAAAGACTTCATTCTTAAAAAACATTGTCTGTATTTACATTCACACGTGTGAGGCAACACACGCACGCATGAGACAAAACACACACATGCTGACAATTTAGACAGGCTAAATTTATTTAGACCAAGTTCAATTCAGACCGAACTTATTTAGATTGAATTTAAAATATCAAACATAAAAAAAATTTTCATATAACTAAATCCAACCTTGCACTAGCCTAAATACTTAGATTGTAAAATATTATTTAGTGTTTTATTTTTAATCAATTTCAATTTTTATCTTTGTCTTAATTTATTTTATTAATAATAAAAAAGAGTTTAGCCATTGAGGTTAAACCCATTAGAGTTCAAGCTTGGCCCAAGTTTCTTTGCATTTATTTGGGCAGCCTGAATAATCCCAATCTTGGTCCTAATATTTGTTGGGTTCAAATTGACCCATCAAGCTTAGTTTGAACTACTCACTTTAACACACAGGCACAAAGGAGATTTACAAAAATAAAAATATATTGTGAGGATAAAAGGAAAAGGGAGGCAGAACTTTAGTGATCGGGTTGCCTCTTTGAGATTTTTATACCACTGAAACAGATTAATCAGCTTTAGGAGAAGTGCTTTGAACAAGAGATGAACACAGCTCTCTGCTCCCAGCCAATTCCTCAAAGTGAGTAACTACATTCTCCAGTTGAGAAAACTGAGTCAAGAACTTGACATGAAGTTCATTATTCCCAAACTGGTTATGATTCCACAGGGAAAGACCATCCCCAATAATCTTCAAACCACTCTTCAGCAATTCCACACCTTTGATAATCCCATCACCAACTTTCCTTTTCTTATTGGAACAGTTACTAACATTATCATCATCAACTTCCATGCTTTTACATTTTTGTACCTCTTCCGCGTCAGCCGTGTTGGATATTTTATGGAACATTTGCTTCAGCACATGACCTTCTCTTGCAAGCAGCTCAAGCTGTTCAGTTGTTGGTGCAATTGAAAGAAGAGCCATTTCCTTGTTAAGAAATGCCTTGATCTCCTCTGTAAATCTATCTTGGTCTGATTCAACTCCTGACTGTACATCATATGAAAGCGCTGAATCTGGTGGAACAAACCTCCATAGCTTATCATACTTGGTATGCATCGCAAAATGTCCAAATGCTTTTAATGCCAAATGAATGAAGGCCCAATGCTTCTCTTTCAAGAGCATGTGAAACAAGTTTAGAACAGCACAGTTCTTGGAATCATTATCATCAATCTCTGACAATTCCGTGTGGATAAGTCCTGCCATGAATTGAGTCAAATGTGGTTTGCATTTGAACAAGAAGCTATCAGATGCTGTTGGTCCTGAGACAAAGGTATTTTCAATCTCCTTGATGGCTTTTTCAATTCCATTTGATGAGTACAAATGTCTCAAATTTGAGATTATCTGTAGGACTTCACCCAAAAGAGTAAGATAATGGTCCTTAATTGCTTTGTCCTTAGAATCTTTTAAGTTACAAGCAACTGAAACCAAAACTTTAAGGTCCTCGCATCAATATCTGGGATGCAGGTCTGGCTGCAGGAAAAAGATAATAGGTTAGAAGTTGGCACTGACATTATTTAAGTTTTTTTCATTAATTAACAGCAAATACAAAATGAAAATTTCAAGGTTTGCAATATTCCCTTGGTAAAACATTCGAATCAGATTCAATATATCATGGGATCTCAAAATTCATAATGCTAATATTGCCTTGCAATATTCAAGGTTTCTCACAAATATATGTCGAATGAAATTTTCTTAACAATGATAAGAAGTCTTATGTCTGTGTGTGGACATCTTAGGGGTGTTCATATGTTCACTTTTGGGGTCTGATGTCTATACTGGCTTAATGTAATTTTTAAGGAAAAATTTGTTGATAAATTGAATTTGAATGTATGTTCACTTTTTAAAATAAAAATTGTTATTCATGAAATTATTAAGTACTTTACATAATAAAATTTCATTGAAGAAAAAGTTTAGGATCTTATTCCCGAAGCATATAAATTATTTTTTTAAAACAAGATTGGACTGAAGCTTGACAATGGATTAGACCTAAGGAAAACTAAGTGTGTGTGTGTGTGTGAAATAAAAAATAAAAAATATTCCTGAGGGTGTACCAAACCAATAACCAAATTGATTGAATCAGTTTTCAGAGTCACGAAAACAAGAAGACCTTGTTCTTTGTAAGTTTGGGTCCGTTTGGTTTAATCCATTAATGAAGACCTTGTTCAATTTTGAACCCCAAAATCCATGAGCTATGAATATGCATAAAATGCCATTAATGAAGAAAAGATCAACACAGATTTATAACAAACATGGTAAGCATGTATCTTTAGTAAAAATAAGAAAACTAGAGGGAAAAATATCAGAAAAACAAAATACTTACAGTGATTGCAAGGAAGCAGACAGAAGAGAGACTGGAATGCCAGATAAACCAGAAGTGCTTGTCATCAATGATGCTTCATCAAAGCTGTCTATGAAATCGAAATAATCTGATATGACTCTTTGAACGGCAGTATTCCTCAACTTATCAGATAATAAATCCAATGGAAAACCTTCAATGAGCAGGGCCAAACATAAAATCGACGACAACTGAGTTCTGGCATCCTCAACAAGAGACATATAGACATGATTAACCATTGATTGTGAACCATAGGTTAGCAAAAAGCAGATTGATCTTGCCAATATTCGGAAGGAAGAAGAAGGAAGGAGAACAGATTCTGAGGATGCCAGAAGCTTTAGTAACGAACAAAGCTTGCTGATCATACATTTTGCCATGTCCATTTCAGCATGTCGCAGCATAAAGCACCAACATTCCATCACTATCTCCCAGCAAAGAAAGTGAGGGTGAAAGAAATTCTCTAGTATAAACGACTCCATATCCCCCCAAGCAGAGCTTGAAGAGACCACAATCATGAAGGTTTTGATTGCATGCAAAAGAGATGTAAACAAAGGCTGCCAAACCAGCTCTATCGTTTTCCCAGAGCCACGCAACAAAGGAAGTTGTAGAACAAGAATGTTAGAGTATACATCCTCTTCAACTACAATATCCAGAAACCATTGAAGTTTCCGGACAATTCCTAATTTTAGATCTTCATCAAGTTCAAGAGAACATCCCAAGAAATTAATAAACAAAGCAACTCGACCTATGATCAGTATTCTTCCTCTTCTCATATCATCACATCTAACGTGAAAGATTTCATTCATAGATGCTGAATTACAATCAGCTAAGTTTGGAGAATCAAAAGCAGAATAGGAATCCCCTTCATTAAAGAATAACCACTCCAGTATTTCAGACTTCTGCTCAAATTTCAGTTTATCAGAATTTAGCAAAGACATTGCCAGATCCATGATTGTTTGCTCCAAAAGCTCAGTAGTTACTGCACATACACTTTTCAGAAAGTTTTCATTGCTCACTGCAATTTTTAATGTCGTCATCTTGATGACACAGAGCATGATCTCTCTATATATTGCATAGGCCTGATGAGGATACAGTGAGGCTATTTTTACTGCATTAATTAGGTAAAATTTCACTGGCACCAGAATCCTTTTAGCTTCAGTTACAGAAACAGTATCCTTGGGTGAAGACCAAACCTCAGCCACACATTTCAGAGGCTCAGTTATCAATGAAATTAAATCTCCCAGTACATTTGCTATGCTTATCACTTCTGCTAAATATTTCCGACCAATTTGAAGCAAGGAGACTACACCTTTCCATGTCACGTTAAGAATATTCACCAAATTGCCTCCATCATTAGCAGCAAGGACACCAATCTGAGATAACTTTTCTATTGCACATTTTATTATGTTGATAACATGGGCAGTCTTAAGGCTCCATAGTTTTGCATCACAGGTCTCTGAGTTTACTGATTCAGAAAGTGCCTTGCATAGTTTTATGACAGCATCAATCATCATATGCGTGACCTTCAATATTTCTGATCCAAATGATTGAAGTTTCTGCTTAGGAACAGAAAGTGAATACCCTTAACAATACATACTAGATCGTGGATGAAATATAAAAAAGATGAAACAGCGGAACAGATTTCCTTCAATCTTCACTATTCCCTGAATAAATATTAGAGACTTTCTGTCTGATGATACACAAGAGAATTTCCTTTTCTTTTCTCAGTGAAAACTTTGGACAAGAGAATTTTATAAGTTCATAACCAAATAATAACTAGATAATAAACTATACCTTCATGAACGCATAAAACTACAAGACAAATTTATTAGCCTCTAGAAACAAGCAAATGACATCAATAAGAAATGGTCACCACTATGAAAAAATGAACAGCTCATTCCATTCATTAAACAAGAAAGGATTAATTTGTTACATCTTAAAAATTGAAACCTCTTTCAAATTGTATGTCCTTGTTTTTTTCTTTATTTAATAAAGCTCCTGATACCATCAACCAAAAATAAATAAATAAGGCTCTTATATTCAGTTTATGTTCGTGTTTTCACCTCTAGACACTCAGTAAATTAAAACTTTGAAATTTGAAGAAAATTCATTGCTTTGTTATGACTACATTGACCCTAAAACTAAGTCTATAGTCTATGATTACGTAATTTAATAAGTATAAACCTAAAATGATGGATTTTGCTTTTGATAGAACAGGAAAGAATTGATAGTTCATAGATTGGTGCCACACATGCAAGTCCTAGGTATTAGAGATGCAAGAAGTCCCACATGTAGAAATTAGAAGACAAATCATGAATATAAAGCTTAGGATGAGTCTAATCAACAACAACAACAACAACAAGCCTTTATCCCACTAGGTGAGGTCAGCTACATGGATTGCAAGACGCCATTGTGCTCTATCATTTATTAAGCTTTTAGGAATATTATTAATTAAGAGATCGCGTTCAACAACTTCCAAGAGTGTTCTCTTAGGCCTTTCTCTACCTCTCTTAATCGGACGGCTTAAATTATTTTGGTAGAGTAGACTATCCTTAAGCATACTTAATATAAAAAATCTAACATGGTATCAGAGCTAGTCGATTAGGGACAAAAAAACAAATCAAGAAAAAATAAAATGAAAGAGGAAGAAGGGAAAAAAACAAGAGATTAAAAAAGAGAAAAAGAAGAAGAAGAAATGAATAGAACTAAAAACTCTGAGACTTAAAAAAATACAAGCTCATGCAAGAAGAAGAAGAGAAAGTAGTAGAAGGAATATTAGAGATAAAAGAAGTCCCACATCTAGAAATTAGAAAATAAATCATGAATATATAAAGCTTGGGATGTGACTATATAAATGGCTTAAGCTATTTTGGTGAAGTTGACTATTCTTAAGCATGCTTAAGAAGGAGAAGGAGAAATGAATAGCCTTGTGGCTTTTGAGACTAAAAAAAGTACAAGCTCAAGCAAAAAGAAGAAGAGAAAGTAGTAGAAAGAATATTGGAGATAAAAAAAATCTCACATCTAGAAATTAAAAGATAGACAATGAATATATGGAGTTTGGAATGTGTCTAACCAAATGGCTTAACCTATTTTAGTGGAGTAAACTATCCTTAAACATATTTAATATAAAGAATCTAGCACAAGGAATTTCATCATTCAGGTGTATCCTTCTTTGTCATCTCCATTGTCTCTCCAAGTTGGAGATGGTACTCAATTTCAATTTTGGGAAGACCATTGGATGGGAGACTCTTTCTGTAAAACTTCCCCGCATCTATATCAGTTATCTTCTTACCAAAATGCTCCCATCTCTGAGATTTTAATGCAGCATTAAGTGGTGATTTTTTTTTTTTGGGGGGGGTGTGGGTAGAGTTTGTTATTGAATGTGAGTTCTATTCTCTCTTCTATATTCTATCTTTTCTTTCAATTTATGCTTTCTCATAAATTTTCAGTCTATTAGAAATCTTCGTGATACACTTGCCTATGGCCATAAAGGGTTTTACTTTTTTGTCGGAAATTCATGGCATGTGCTTTTGTATCTGGTAGACAGAATTGGAGTTTGGATTCTTCAGATTTTCATGCATATAAATACCTTGTACTGGCTCTATTTGATTTTAAGAAATTTTCAAACATTTTTCATGTTCTTGTATCACTAGATTCATATACAGAGAAAACTATATTACCTTAGTATCTGATATGGAAGCTTTTGCTAAATTTAAAGCCTCCAAAACGAAGTTCGCAAAAGCATCTATCAATAGCTTGTCATCAAAGACTGGAAATTTTAACAAGGCTAAGAAAGTTGATGCAGAAAACTTCATAGCCTCCAGAAGCAGCTGCACAAGATAGATAAACAACCTCAGGTAAAACTTGATGTCAATAGAACAAGTAGCAAGTGAAATCTTCAAGAATACATGAGAAGTGAAAATTTGCTCAAACTGAAAGATACATGTTCGTTTTGTTACTGGAGGTCAAATCACTATCACTAAACAAATCACAGTGCATGAGACAAGAATCTGTGGACACTTTCTTTATTCTTGCCACTAGTCCCACATCTAGCTACCACTCATTGTTTTACATTTCTTCAAGAAACTAAGTCACAACATCACTAGCATTTGTGGGAAGCACACATGACACAACCAATGATGTAATTTTTTTTCCCTTTCCCTATGATTAACATTAAAAAAGCTTTGAGATCACTAGAGGTAATTGTTATCATCCAGTTAATGGCCAATAACTAGGATAAAGGACAGCAATGTGCCCCCACTGAAAATGACATGATGTATAGGTTAAGACTTGGTGCCTTGAAAGTAAGAGCAATCAGCTTTAAATAATGGCTCTAATACCACATGAAATATTAGAGTTCACAGTCTATGATCTCATGATATTATTGGACTATAAGAAGCCTCTTGTAGGGACCTAATGCTAACAATTTTATTTAATTAGATCGAAAGAGAAAAGCTTACAAAAAGGAAATACAACTTATACTAACAGCAGTGAAAAATAGCAACAGGCATGCCAGATACAAGTCCTTCACAAACAGATGATAGCCAGCCAAACTGCTCCCTTAGCAAGTGATCTTGAAGATATACAGTGTGCAGTTTTTATGTAATTTGGGACCTTGATGTGAAAGAAAAGCAAAAGCAAATTAAGAACTTTAGTGCTATTTAAACTGCCAAAAGACCAAATGTGTAATGGATATCATCCCCAACAAATTGAAAGGACTACTTAAGAGTAGGTTGCAAACTTCTAGGTGCTATTTAAACTTGTTAGACCAGAAGCTGATGGGCTGAAACAAAATGCCAAAAGAGTCATTCATGGGAAGATGGCTGAAAAATTCTGGCAGATGTAATTACGGATGTTGTTAAAGAGATCATCAGTTGCTAAAGTTCTTGACTTGATGTAATCAGAACCTAAGCTACTGAAACATGAACTTTTTTTGTCAACAATCACACTTTCTTTTGGTCAACAAACTGCTGAACCATGATTCAGTACAAGTGTGCAGCAATGAGAGCTTCTAAGTATAGATTTTTTTTCTTATTGGGTTTTATTTGTAAAAAGGTATAGTGTGACTGTTATGTCTACGACTAAAAGTTTGCATTGCTTACTAGCATGCTAGAGTTGTCTAGTTGTACTTCTCTTCTCCAGACTTGTGATTCAAAAATGACACATGGGAGCACAAGTAAGGAAGTCAATGATTCAATTCTGATTACTCTTTCTCATTCTTCATAAACGATAACTTGTATATGCTTGTTGACATGGTAAATCTTGTGTCCTTTTCTACCCTTTTGATATTTCAAAAATCATCCTTTGTGGTCACTTGGGTAATTTGCTGCTGCACTTATCACCATTGATAATGATTGAAACAAATTCTGCTATCATATTATAGCATAAAATGAAAACAAGAAATTTAATTTGTGTTCATGTACACTTTCCATAAACTCTAGCTGATGATGCATTGGTATATTTCACTCTCCCATTCATTTCCATATTTTTGACTAAAAGTACAGTGCCTGGAAGGAACATGTTGAATGCTCAAAAGAAATAATAAGGAAAATTTTAACAAAGAAGACCATGAAAAATTATTAAAACTCAGTGACATAAAATTCCTACCTGATAAAATACAGAGGTATGTTCCTCTTCCTCAGATTCTTGGTTTGACAAAAGAGTCATTTTCAGATGTTTACAGCACCAAGCGTTTGCCTAATAGAAGAAGAATGCATTTCAGACAAACATCTTACTGTGACGTTAGAAATTGACCAATGTGCGATCATATAGATCTGGATAAAGATCAAATGCAAAGAAAAGATAAAAGCCTATGTACCTTAATTCCAAGGTTGAGAATCGTCAACATGTTGCCACTATGAAGGTCAAACTCAACATACTTCAGCGCCACTTGTAAAATACTTCTGTTTAGCATGCACTGTGTGACATCCAAACATGTGAAATCTTCCCAAAATGTCGAGCTTGTAGTTAAGGTGGAACCGTGGAAGCAAAAAAACGAACACAGTTAAAATAGTATTGAAATAGTATGCTAATAAATATAGGTCTCCATAGGTTGACTCGCAAGAAATTGGAAGTTTTCTTCCTCACAAAATAAAATAAAAAAGAAAACAGAGCAAAACAAAAAATAAAGATCCCAAATTTGATTTCACATGATTGTCATTCAATTTAATCTTTATTCTTTCCAAGCAGAAACATAACTATCAACAAATTTTACTGAGCAGTTGAAAGGGAAAACACTAAACTGGTAATGTTGTCAACCTAAAATGGTCAAATATCACTTAAGTCTAAAATGGTCAAATGTGAAGCAAGGTACTATAGTTAAAGTTGCAGTCCAATTTGCCTTTAATATGTTTATATCAAAGCTTATAATTTCAATAATATACAGACATGTATACATACATTCATCATTTCTTTGTAACGCAGAATAAATAGAAATGTCCAAAAAAAATTGCTTATAAAATGAAAGTTTCCACTTATACAATTGCCTTTTATTCAGTGACCTTGTTTTCAATCATCCATATTCTAAATCTTGTTAACGTAGCATAAACTCAAAGCAATCAATGGTAATTTCAAATTCAAAGCACAGAATAGGTTACAAAAAGAATGAAGACATTAAAATCAGGAAGATATAATAGAACTTTGTTGTTCCAGCATTCCGGCAAAAACATTGATTCTTCTAATGAGTTGGAACTTGTATGTTTCTCCCCTAATCTCAATGACACCTTTAGGATAACCAAATTCCAGAAGGTGATACACCTGAAATGTTCAGACATCTTGAAAGACACTTTACTCTGATTAAAGGCCTAATTATTCCATGTTATTTTAAAACCAAAAATACTGTAAATCATTTGTGTAGTTTGATTTTCCAGAAAAGGTCATTCACATCAATTATAACATACAACACAAAGAGGAAATAGGACTTGGAAGCTGATAGTTCACAATTATGTCATATTTAAGCATCTAAATTTCAGCCAAACTTGCATGCTTTGTTAGCCAAATGCAAAAAACACATTAGTTCATACAGGTCGCATGCAATCACTCGGTTCATTTCTAAATCAGTATAATTTAAATTCTGAATTAGAGGAAAGAAACAGGACATAAGAATTTAACAAGCACAAGAGATACCAAAGAACTTTGAGAAAAATTACAAATGATCAAGCAAAGCCTACCAGAGGTTTAGGCAAGCCTTACATTTAAAAATAGTGTTAATAGTCATTTTTTCCCCTCAACTTTACCCGAAGGGTCACTAGGGATCCTAAATTCCACTATGAGTCAATTTTATCCCTCAACTTTAAAGATTCCCTTCCTTATCACCCTACCATTTTCTCACCATTAGTTAACCATTAGTGGGCCCCACATTACATTTTTTAATTTTTTTATTATAAAATATTTGAGCTGAGGGTGCCCATTAACATTTCAAATAAGAGTTAAGAGGCAAAAATGATCCTTAACTCAAAAAAAAAATTAATAAAAATAGTGAAATCCACTGATGACTAATGGACATTAAGTGTTTTTAAAGTTAAGGTAATAAGGGAATCTTTAAAATTGAGAGACAAAATTGACCCATGGTTGAGTTTAGGTTCTCCAGTGACCTTTCAGATAAAGATGAGGGACAAAAATGAGCCTTAACCTTTAAAATAATACTTTTCACTATTTATGACGGTTCTTAAAAGGAAACTTCAAAAGACCTTACACAACATATATTGTTAAGTTGGAAATCACAAGAAAACAATTCCACTGGACAGACATAAGCATCCATCTTCTGAGAGCTGAAGAAAGCTAATGTTAAGGATACTATGAGGCAGTCCACAAGCGAAGTAAAGTCAGATATGTCCCTGAAAACTAGATTTCCAAGCTCAGCAAATAGTTGAACTCGATTCTCAACAATCTGTGTCCATGTGTCAAAAAAAAAAAATTTATTTAGTAACAAAATAATAATGCTAGAAGTTTACAAATCAAAAAAGAAAAAAAAGATCCAATGTACAATATCACACCATTGGCAAATTAACTACTATTGACAACGTGCAAAAACAGGGTATGTTACCATTGCGCTAACCAAGACATATATTCCCGTAAGGGTAACAATCTGGCAACAAAAAGTAGCTTCAGACTTGGACGTAGACAACAATATCCAATTTAGGGTCAATATAGAACGAGAATGTTAAACATTGGGGAAAGGTCATTAATTTCAATAATCGATTATTTTGGATACAAAGAGAAGGCATGTTTCCATGTCAACAAAACTATCAATATTACTGCGAGAAGGCATGTTTAGATTTTCTCTGAAACTTGAAACTTGTGACACTTTCAACCAAAAAAAAAAAAAAAAAACACGAGGGGAAAAAAGACACACTGTAACCCTAAACTTCATAACCACAATCAACGGGACTAAATAAAGATTTCTATTAATACAAACACTTTAGGTCACAATTGGTGCATTATACTGCGAGAATATGAAATGCAGAGTTGGATACGTTCCAACTCATTGTTATAGAAAACCCAACGTTGAACAAGAAATAGTGATCAGAATGAAGTAAATGGCTAAAGAAGCTTACCTCGGAGGATCTAATGGCTTCTAGGATCCTCACCAAATCGTTGTTGGAGCTACCTCCCACCATTTTCCTCTCTGTCCAAACCCAGAAGCACTGTGATTGTATTTCTATTTCGAAGTTTTTCTGATGGTACTTAGCGGCTCTCAGCTTTCCCGCCAATCCGCCACTCAAGTCTCAGCAAGACAAGAGGATGACATGGCGGCAATTGCCTTTTCCCGTTCCTACCCCGGACGTAGTGAGTACATTTATAATAGTATTTTTTAAAAAAAAAATTCATCATTTATCCCTGAAAAAATTTAAAATTGTCATAAAATCTCTCAAGAAATTATTTAAAGGGACCAAGATTAATTAAAGATCAAATAGGGTCATGTAAGTCATAAGTCAAGTGAGGCGATTGCCTTAGGCCTTTAAAAAAATTTCTTCATACCCCTATTATATACTACTTTTATTAAAAATGTAAGACATTTTTTGAGAGTTAAATATTAAAAAATATAGGTATTTTTAATTTTTTAATGTGTAATTATTACATTTCTTCAAAAGTACTCCTATTGAATAAATAATTTTATATTTATTTTAGGGTGAAACACCCTATTAATAGAGGTAGTATATTTATTTTAGGGTAAAAGTCGTTATGAAAAAATAGGATTAGTTTGAAAATAAGTAACTATTTTATTGGTATGAAATTTAATTAAAAATACCTTACATTTTTAAACAAAGGAAGTATATGCATAATTGATATTTGTATTATATTATTACATATTTAATTGTAAATGGAAGAAAATAAAAAGTATTGATTGTTCTTCTTATTGAAGAGTTCTAATCATCCCCAGTGTAATATTAATTATTGAGCTGAGCCTATTATGTACATAAAAAAATAGTGAGATCTATAATACATTAATTTACACTACATTAACTTGCTCTAAATCCCTCTCATAGTCTCACTTTTCATTTCTCATTTTCTTATTCTAAAGCCTATAACATTAACAAATATCAATATCAAGACCTTATATAATTTTAGACCATCAATAAGACACCTTTAAGCCTTATTAAAATCATGTTTATAATTTATATAACCATTATTGGTTTTTCACATTAATCATTGATATTATTGGTCTTAATTATATCTTTTTTTGTAAAAAATGTATTGCCACCTCATATCAGTGTCAATATTCACATTTTATCCCAATATATAAGATGGAGTAGGAGAACTTTGTTAACACTAATTTTCATCTTACTATTGAATTAATTTAGTATTTTATTGGAATCTCTATATTATAAAATTTTAATATATGATTTTGTAAAAAATGATGAGTGGATTTTTTTTATTTTTGAAAGGGGCAATTATATATGCTAGGCTTTACTAATAATTTTGCCTTAGGCCTTAAAACTTGTTCAAACGACCTTAATACCAAATGCACACAAAGCTATAACCTTACATCCCAATCCTATCATATCACCTTGCACCTTGCACATTAAACCTATGACTTTACATCCCAAACCTATCATTTTTCACCCCAAGTCTATGAACAATCTGTTATCCATATTATTATTTTTTTATAGACCATCACTTTTAGAATAATATGATATATTTTCATGAAATTTGCACTTCTATGGTGTGCAGGGTAATATGCTTAGTGTGCAACTACAAGGTCATTAACTTGGTGTGGACAAGATGAGGTAGCAGTACCCGTATCTATTTCCTTAGTTAAATGTCGATGTTGTTGTTTGAATTTTAGGGACAGAATTTTTAAAAGTAAAGTTAGGAAATAGGCAAGCCCGGCCCTTATGGGCTAAGCCCTTAAGGACTCAGGCCCTTAAGCTCGGTTTCCTTAAAATGTCTCATTTTCTAAAGTCTGGCTCTTATATAAAGGGCTTAAGGCCAGGCCCGTAAATCCTTATTATTATTATTTTTTGAAATTTTTAAAAATTAAATTTTTAATTATAATATTTCGTATATTTTTTAAAAAATAAAAATTATAATGTTTAAAAATTTAAAAAAAATAATAAAAATTTTAGTTTTAAAGTGTAAATATATATTCTAAATTTTAAATTTAATTTAAAAATTAAAAATATTTTATTTTTTAAGGAAAAACAAAAACAAGCCTAAAAGGACCGCTCGAGCTTGAGCCATTTTTTCAGGGCCCATTAGGGCTGAGCTTAAAAGCTCGATTTCCTTAAAAAATGTCATTTTTTCAAGCTCAAACCATTATAAAAATGAGCTTAAATAGGCAGTCCTCTAAACCCGACCCTTATTCCCAACTCTACTTAAAAGGAGGGGAGAATTGTAACATCTTAAGTTTTAAACTTGGATGCTAATAGCTTATCAAAAGGGTAATTTAGTAAATTAGTATATTAATTAAGTTAATTATGGTTTTGAGTTGTTAATTGATCTTTTAGATCATTGGACAGCTTCAAGATCATATAGGAAAGGAAGTAGCGCTAATCAGGACTGAGTGGAAGAGCTTTAGTGAGAAGTATCCTATTGCACCATGTTATGGTGCAGTGTGCCATGGCGCATCATACAAAATTATTTTTAAAACCTATGGGTTAGCTCATGAAATTTGGAAGAAAAAGTGGAAAGAAATGCGATGGAGGAGAAGGAGAAGAAAAAGCTTTGTTATGGAAAGGTTTTGTGGGCACGTAAGAGTTAGTTTTAACATATCATCTTCCAAGTAAGCCTTATACATCTTTCTTCTCCTTATGTACTTTGTTTTCTCTTAGTTGAGATGTGAAGAAATTGAATTCTAAGATAAAGGGGACTGTTATCAAACCCAATAACCATTATAGGGTTATTGGAAGTTAAATTAAGGGTTTGCCTTTTGATTAATGGTTGTTGATTATGTTTTAGGGCTTTGGTTGAGTTATTAAGTACTTATGTTAAATTGGGAAGTTGACATATAGTGGTCAATATTATATATTGATATATCCCAAGTGTTTATTGAATAGTTGAAAGTGCAAAGAGAAATAGATACCACAAGTAATTGTAACATCTTGGATTTCAAACTTGGAAATTTTAAGTGTTTAGAAGGGTATATTGGTAAAAGTAAGTAAATTTTGATTAATGATATTTTTGGAAGACAAATGTAGCCAATTGATCATCAGGTAGCCTTAGAAAAGAGCTAGATCAGAGTTTAAGTAGGTCGTGGTATGGAGAGAGATTCAAAATGTATGTGGGACTCTGTGCTATATGCCTAGCAGATGCACCATGTACCATAGCACATGTGCAAAATCTGCACATAGCAATTTCATGAATTAGACCAAAATTCAAAAGATGAAAAGAGAGAATGCGAGAGGAACGACGGAGGGAGCTCATAGTCTACTAGGGCTGGACATTTGGTGTAACATCCTGAATTTTTTAATCTTAAGTTTAAAGGTTAATTGAGGGAGAAGTGGAAGTTAGTGTGGGATTAGAGATTCAGATGATTAATTAGTATTTTGACTTGTTTGTGTGTTTTATAAATAGATATGGGTGATAGGAATGCGTTTTGAGTCGAAGAAAATGCGTGTGGTGAGAATAAATCTCACTGTGCCATATGCTATGGCTTGTGTTATATGTACCGTGGCGCATGGACTAGAAAATCACTTCTTAAGTCATGAAATTAGGTGCTTTTCAAAAGTAAAAATTTAGAAACACATGATATAGAGAGAAGAGAAGGGCTGAGGAGCTAAGTCAAGTTATTTTAGAGCGATGGAAGGTGATTCAGATCGGTAACTTGCCAAGTAAGCTACGTAAAACTCTTATCTTTCATTCTACATAAATTTCTCTAAAAATGAGTTATAGGAAAATTGAATTGGTGAAATTTGAGGGGTGTGATTCTTGCCCAATAGTAATAAAAAGGTTCTCAAAGTTAAATTAGAGCTTTGCAACTGGTTTAAAGCTGAATGGTAAAGCTTTAAACTTGTAGGCTCAATTTTAGCCCTCAAAAGAGAGAAAATTAGGGCAAAAATTTGATTAGTAAAATAAGACCAATTGAGATGATGTAAAGTAGTAATTGGGTAGTAATAGACCTAGAATGGATTAATGAAAAATAATTTATAGATGAATATAACCCTAAATAGTAGAAATGAGTTTTTGGTTAAAATGGACCAAATGACTAAAATGTGCTAAATGTGTTTAGATTGGCCTATTAGACATGTGAGTAGAGGAAGGAAGCTTGAGATAAGCTTGTGTAATAGTTGAAATCCATAGGTAACCTTTCTAGTGACAGAAGGGTTGAGATAACTAAATAACTTTCTTTATTTGACTGTTTATTGAAACTATATGTTAGTATGCTATATAATGTAGGAAACAGTTTTAAACTAAACATGTTTTATAGCATTGAGTGATTGTTGTGTAAAATGGCTTTTGGTTGAATTAAAGCATTGAAATGTGTGATTTCAAATGTAAAGTATTTTATGTATATGTTATATGCGAGAAAGTGTGAAATCGTAAATGGGAATCTTAAATAGTTTGGAAAAGCATGATTATAGGGGTGGGAGTTCACTCAAGTGTAGGAGATGATAAAGACTGTATGGCAAGGTTTCCTTAATACCCGTTAGGGTGCGGTATTAGAAACAATTCTCCTTAGTTCCTTGTAAGGTGCAGTGTTGGAGAAGATCTCCTTAGTGCCTATTGAGGTACGGTGTTAGAGATGAGAGACTCCTTAGTATCTTTGTAATACAGTGTTGGAGTCAATGACGCCCCACTATATGTATTAGGGGAAACCATAGTCCATATTATACGTTAGAACATTTTTGGCTGGGTGATTTTACCACTACAAGTGAGCTCAAGACTAATAAGAGTGTACATTAGCCTAAGATGAGCCTATGGTTTTGTGTTGAGGTGATTTGGAGGTTTGGCTAGTAGAGATCATGCTAGTATGTTATGGGATATGATAAAATATATTGAGATAACATGGAATCATTTGTGATTGAGGAAAAGTTGAGATATGTGATATAAATACTATTTTATGAGGTTTTTAATGATATACTATGTTTACTTCTATATTGTTGCATGTGATAGTCAATAGGAGTAAGTTATTCTGTTACTAAAATTTTTATCTCACCCCCGTGGTTACATGTTTATAGGATCGGGAAGTAATCAAGGCAAGGGATGAGAGTTTAGACCGGCTCGAGTGTGAAGCCATGTACTCTGAGTTTGTGTAATAAACTGAACTAAGATTGTATATATAAGTGTATATGAGTTGCCATAGGGTC